GCCCCCGCGCCGCCCCCCGCAGCGGCCCCGGTGCCGGAGGGAGCCCGCGGAGCGGGAACGGGATCGGGATCGGGAACGGGATCGGGAACGGGATCGGGAACGGGATCGGGAGCGGCGCCCCCGGCTCGGGGGGGGCGGAAGTGGCCGCCCGGGAGGGAAGGCGCCGCCGCCTTTTTTTTTTTTTTTTTTTTTCGGGGGGGGCACTTAGGGGGAAAAAAGTTCTGGAGGGGACGCGTTGCTTTTGTGCGGGAGAGGCTGCTTTTCTGCCAAGGGGAGCTGCTTTTGGGGGAGAAATGTTACTTTTCTGCAAGGAGGAGCAACTTTTCTGGGATAGAAAGTTAGTTCAGTGGCAAAGTTGTTTTTCTGGGGGGAAAGTTTGTCTGGGAAGAAAAGTTGCTTTTTTGGGGAAGGAAAGTTGTTTTTTTGGAGGGGAAAGTCACTTCCCTAGGGGGAAAACACTTTTTTGGGGAGAAAAGTTGTTTTTGGCAGGCAGGGAAAATCACTTTCTGGAGGAAGGGAAGTTGCTTTCTGGGAGGAAAAGTTGTTTTTTGGGGGGAAAAGTTGCTTTTTTTTGGAGGAGAAAGGCACTTTCCTGGGGGGAAATCACTTTAGCAGGGCAAAAAAGACACTTTTGGGGAAAGAAAAGTTGTTTTTTGCAGGGAAAATCACTTCTTGCTGGGAGAAAAGTTGTTTTCTGGGGAGATAAGTTGCTTTTGGGGAGAAAATACACTTTTGGGGAGGACAAATGTTAACTTTTGGAAGGGGGAAAATCCTTCGGGGGGGGGGAAACAGTCACTTTTGGGGAGAAAAATCACTTTTTGGGGGGGAAAAGAAGTTGTTTTTGGCCGGGAAAGTCACTTTTGGGGAGAGAGAAGTGGTTTTTGAGGAGGGAGAAGTGGCTTTTGGGGGAGAAAAAATGCTCTTGGGGGGAGAAAAGTCACTTGGGGGGGGAAAGAAGATGCTTTGAGGGGAAACAAGTTGCTTGTGGGGAAGAAAAGTCACTTTTTGGGGGGGAGAAGTCACCTTTGAGGGGGATAAAAGTTCCTCAGCGGGGAAAGAAGTTGTGTTTTGGTGAGGAAGAAGTCACTTTTGGGACAAAAGCAGCTGTTTTTTGGACAAAAGGAGCTGTTTTTGGCAGGGAAAGGCACGCTGGGGATGCGCGAAGCTGCTTTTTGGGGAGAAAAGCTGCGTTTTGGGGGAGAGGCGGCGCCGGCCGCACAAAGGCCGAGGCCGGGACCACCCGCACGTCCCGCTGCCGGCGCCGCTCCCGGCAGCCCGAGCGCCGCCGGAAAGGGAACGCGCGGGGAGGGGAGGACAACCCACCCACGGAGCGCTCGGAAAAGCGGCTGGGAACGTCGGGATGGCTTTCCCGGGCGGAGGAGGGCGTGGGGACAGCGGGGTTTCCCCGCTCTGCCATCTCGGGGGCACCCAAAAGCGCCAAGTTTGGGCTTCTTGCCAGGCCCCGGCAGCGTGGCCAAGAGGAGGAGAAGGATGGGGAGGAGGAGGAGGAGGATGGGGAGGAAGGCGGGAGGAGAACATGGGCCACATCCCTCTGCCCCTCCAAGAGGAAATCTGGGACATTTCCCCATGGGAATTCTCTGCTGGCTACTACATGCCAGGGCCCTCCCATTCCCCCTCCCGTGGGATTCCAGGCCAACATTCCCCACGCTGCCGGGGCGCTCCGGTCCCCTGCGGTCCCCAAGGCCCCACGCTGCCACCTCCAGCCCCGTCTCTCTTTATTCTCTGCGGAAGCAAAGGGAAAGGGCCCGGGCACGATGCGGGTGCAAAGCAGCGGTCCCCAGCGTCCCCACGTGTCCCCACGTGTCCCCCGGG